TTTTTTCTTTGATGGTCCTGGGAAAGTAGAATTTCTAGGCTGATATGGTTGGTTCTTCTGATGTCCAAAGTCCTTTCTTTCTTTCTTTCTTTCTTTCTTTCTTTCTTTCTTTCTTTCTTTCTTTCTTTCTTTCTTTCTTTCTTTCTTCCTTCCTTCCTTCCTTCCTTCCTTCCTTCCTTCCTTCCTTCCTTTTCCACCTTTATTATTTTTATAAATAATTCAAGATGGTGAACATATCCATCATACCTTCCTTCTCCTACTTTCCCAACAATCCTGTGAGCTAAATTGGGCTGAGAGAGAGTAATTGGCTCAAAGTCAACCAGCTGGCTTTGGATGGGACTTGAACTCACAATCTCCCACTTTTTAGCCCGGTGCCTTAACCACTGGCTCTCCATTTCTTCACAAAATGAATGTTTGAAGAAACATTCAAAAGGAGAGCAACTGCAAAAAGATCCTGCAGGACACTGGCAACAGACTGTGAGAAAGTCAATTGAGTACTGAATAAAATTTCTCAGCCATGATCATTTCTACACAATTCAGTGGAGCTTTTCAATGGGTTTTACTTAGCTCTTGGGAGCCTGCTGTGAAGCTGAACTACAAAATACCTTTTAAAAACTTACAGTTTAAAAGTAACATTCCAAAGCAGCGTCTCAGAACCTCAACCACCTCAAGAGGTGTTGATTTCAACTCCCAGAATTCCTAGGCAGAATGGCCATGAGCTCTCCAGATTCCTTAAAAGGAATTTCAGTTCTTTCAGTCAGAGGATGAAAAGGAAGGGATTTACTCTTAATCTTGATGAGTCATAAAATCTCATTCATCTTCCTTTAAGAGAGTCTCCTTCAGAATTACAGTATTCCCTGATCCTTTATAACTTAGCTTGCAGCCAACAATTTGCAAATCTCATTTTCTGGAGGAAACTTATGATCTTTGATTAGATCCTGGATTGGCCTGATTTTCGGAGTCTTTTTCAATCTGGCTATATCTACAGAATTTCTCTGTAGATACTCTCAGTAATGCTTAATGCAGCAATGAAACTTGTCTAGGTTTTTAAAAGAAGGTAGTCCTCAAGATATAACAGGTCACTTAATGAATGTTCAAAGTTATGACAGATGACCCCAAACTATATACAACCCTGTTTCAAAATTACAACAGCTGCAGTACCCCTGTGGTCATTTGTCCTTATGACCAACCACAGGGATGCTGCAGCACACCCCTCCTCCATGCAACCATCCCTGGACCCTGCAGTTGTTGCAACTACTCCAGACATGCCCATCCCCCATCACACTTATCTTTTCAAGCTCTCTGGACCTCATGTTGGGGAAGGAGGGCAGACCACATATCCCTGGGCGGTGCAGCAGTGACCTATATCCGACTTCCATTTTGTCTCACCTGCTTTGTTTTGCTACCTTAACAGGGTCTGCACAGCACTGCAGAAGTTTCTAAACGTGGCAGGAAATTTCTGCAACAGTGTGTAAACCCTGTTAAGGCTTGATTTAGAGCAGGGGTGTCAAACTGCTGCCTGCGGGCTGGATGCATCATAGCGAAACCATGCCCACCCCTTTGCTGGCAATGGCAAAAAAGTTGTAATATGTTGCGACACATCACGTGATGTTTCAAGTTTGACACCCCTGATTTAGAGTATACCGGAACTGCCCATAGGGGTCGCTGCAAACCTATTCTGTGAAGTGGTTGACAGGTAAGCAGTGTTTGCAGAGGGTTGCAGTTGGGCCAACGCAAACACCTCCTGAATCCCAACTGCCTATTGTACAGAGGTACATACCTGGTGTGCTGATTGGTTCCAATTTCCTGCTGGGAGGCCCAGGAAGGTAAAGCACATTCAAGCTATTTAACTATTCACTGGGGTGAGCAGGAATTTGGCAATTGTTAGGTGAGACATTTCACCCAATGACAGTTGTGACATGGACCATAATGGGCAGGCTCCATTATGGTCATATCCCAAAGACTACCAGTATTTGAGATTCCGTTTTCCCACACCTAACAATAACACTTAGACTTATATACTGCTTCACAGTGCTTTACAATCCTCTCTAAGCAGTTTACAGAGTCAGCCTGTTGCCCCCAACAATCTGGGTCCTCATTTTTACCAACCCTGGAAGGATGGAAGGCTGAGTCAACCTTGAGTCGGTGAGACTCGAACTGCTGACAGTTGAGAGAATTAGCCTGCAATACTGCATTCTGACCACTGCGCCACCACAGCTTTTACCCACCTAGCAGGTGATTTTCAGAAGGTGCTGCAGAGAGATTGTAAAGCTACAAGTTTAAAGTGTTGTGAAGCAATATATAGTGTTCCACATTGTCTTATGTCCTTATTGTGGCAAACATTTATTTATTTAATCCTGATTTTATGCTTTTCACAAATAACTGAAGGCAGCAACCATACCTAATTTCTCCACAGCAACAGTCCTATAAGGTAGGATACGTTAGGAAAAAATAACTGGCCCAAAGTCAACCAGCTAGTTTTTATGCCCAAGGCAGGATTGGAACTCACAGTCTCCTAGTTTCTAGCCTGCTGCATTAACCATCAGACCAAACATTGATAACAGATCAGACTCACTGCCCTTTTACAATTCAGATGTATTTAAACACAGCCAATGTCCAATCCGTGCCAGGGATGGTGATGGGTTGTCAATAGTTACAATGGTTAGCATGAGTGGGGGAATCGAGAAAGAAAGGCATAGATATGGTAGGGTGCCCCATAGACATCCTTCAGCCTTACTTCATTTAACCACATTTCATAAAATACTTCCCTGTTGGCTTGTTTGCAGCACAGTCTGTGCCAAAAGTCCCAATTTTCAAACCACAGGGTCTCTCTGTTCACAGAACACGCTACACCTAGCTTAATCAAATCAAAACATAGCTTGGGGAAATGTACAAATGTTGAAAAGAACAACAAGACATTAAAATGTCAACTGATTTAAAACCTAGTAAAAGGCTAGCATGCAATATACTAACTATAAAAATAAATTTTAAACTTGTGAGAAAATCCTAAATCCATTAGCAGCTAACAATTCATAGCACGAAGGAGGAACCGGTCTATTCCTAGTAGCTATTGATAAGAATTCTGCAACATTCTTTGGCTTCTGACGAGTGATCAATGATAATTAGAATTATTAAAAATTGGAAGGATTAAACTGGTCCCCATTGGGTATACAATGGACTTCTAATAGTACATGCAAGACAGATTCTACCTCTGATTCTTAAATAATAAAAAGTCAAAAACTGAGTGTTAAGTAAGCTAGACTGAGAAAATATAAGAAGATAAGAAAGAGACAAAGCAGGCTTAGATGTCTCGGTAATACCACCTTGTATGTGTATCGAGATAATGGTCAGGTTCTGCCCCTTTTCAACATGTGCCACGTCAATGCGTATGAAAAGAGCCAAGGTTTTGGCTGCACTATTTCTTGAGTGTTTTGACCTCCTACCCTGGCAATAAGCAAATCTTAATTACAGCATGAGGTAAGAAAAGGGGGGGGGAGCAGAACTCCTTCAATAACATTTTTTTCCAGTTCCTACTTTTGCTATCTAGCTACCCCTGCGCTTAATAGTGCTTGTGCAACACTTTGATCCAAAGTGTCTCCAAAAAGGGCTTCAAAGTGTGAGGGTCAGCAAACAAAGCACCTGCCTGTAATTCTTTAAAGTGATCATGTCTCTTCTTGGTATCTCCTAACAACAAAGCAATTCCGGAAAAAGTGTCACAGGCAGATATTACTATTACTTCTGTGCTTCGAAACACTTTGGAGAGATCACAACTGTTGAATTGTTCACCCTGGCAGCCTTTATTACTGATAATCACCAAGAATCCTAGTCTTGCAAGGTCCCTCATTCCAAAATGCAAGCCATTCTCTTAAGTATTTGCTTCCAAAAGGCAGATACCCACAGAGACCAATGGAATGCAGAAAGGAGTGGATATCCTGGCAGGCATTTTTTTTAATTAAAGTTTTATAAAAAGTACAGTATTAACCCACCCCAACCCCCCCTCTCCCTCCCCCACTTCCCAGAGCTGAATACAGGGTTACAAATATGATATTCATAATCTAACTAACATTACCAACTATATAAATAACCAAATCCATAATGCACTTTAACTCCCCTTTAACATAAATATAAGCAAATTAAAAGTGAACATAATAATAACATAAACAAATTAATATCCTAATTATTAAACAATACAGTCCCCAAATAGTTAAACAATACTAATACTACTAATAATAATAATTTCATAATAATACTGTAAAATTCACTCGTGGGCTAAATGAAACTTTTTAGTCCCATATTTATTCTGAATATAATTTATCCATCTTCTCCAGACCGAAATGTATCTTTCTTGTAAATGATCCTTCATATAAGCAGAAACCTTAGCCATTTCTGCTAAATTTGACACTTTAATCGTCCATTCTTCTATAGTAGGCAAGTAATCCTTCTTCCAATATTGCCCTACTAACAATCTTGCAGCTGTTATCAAATTCAACATCAAATTAATTTCTTTAACATCACAATCTGTAATAACACCCAATAAAAATAATTGTGGGGTAAACTTTATCTTTCTCTTAAAAAAATCTGTTGAATGTTCCACCAGATCTTAATCCAAAAGGCTTTTATATTTCTACAAGTCCACCCTATATGAAAATAAGTGGCTTCCAAATTACCACATCTCCAACATTTGGGCTGCAAATTAGGATACATACAAGACAACTTTTTAGATGCCATCTATAAAACGTTTTATAAAAATTTTCTCTTAAATTTTATGCCTGGGTAAATTTTACATTTCTAACCCAAATTAGGCATTTTTTAACAATCATCCCAACCTCCTCCCAATGGGCAAACTCAGCTGAAGCTTTGGAGGAAGAGGGAAATCAACCAATCAGAAGCAAAAAAACCCCACCACGTTGGTGGCAATTGTTCCTTGAGAAGGCTCTGTTGGGAACATTCCTGGGCAGAGGAGGGGAGGGAAGAGGGCAAAGAGAAAAGCCAAGCCCTACCTGTTCCAGGTGGCATTGGAGCAGGCCCGCTGGTGCTGAGTCCCCCGCTCGTCCAAGGCAGCTGCCTCTCTCTTGCCCAGATCGCTGAGGCTGGGCGAACTCATGAACTTCAACCTGCGAAGAGTCCTCATGGTCAATGGATTGTGCGCGGTGGCTAGAGAAACCCCATCCTTTTCACCACACACACATATGCAGCTGAGCCAGGCGCGCCCAATGGGGGCAAGTTCTCCGTCTGCTGTTCAAAAGTGAAACTTAAAAGAAGAAGAAGAAGAAAAAAAAAAGGAAAACCAACAGGAAAGAAAAACAAAACAAATAAAAGAGAACCAGTCTCCACAGAACAGTCCTCGGCCGGCGAGAAGACAAAACCTTTAATCAGAGCAACTCTGACACTGCACAGCCCGATTAGTCATCGCAATGGGTTGGTGCTGCTTTCTTAAGTGGCTCTTCCTGTCCCAGCCAAGGAATCACCACGTTTCTCTCTCCTGGCCCTGAACAGATGGAGATTCATTCAGCCCAAATGTTCCACCTGCCATAGTAAACATTTCTTCCACCGAGTGCGCAGATGGCTCCTCCTCCCTCCTCCTCCTTTTGTAACTGGAGACGAAGCTGCCAATAAGAAGTGGGGGGAGCTACCCACAAAATGTGACGGATGGAAATTTCACAGCAAAGTTTCACAACCGCTGAAACTTTGCCACATTACAACACACCGGGTTTCTATCTGTTCCACTGGGGCAAAGAACAATTCAGCTGCTACGTGCCTGAGCTGAAAGGGTGAGCAAGCCTCATATCGTAGCTCACCTGTTTAAAGAGACAGAGACCTCACTTTTGCAGAAGATGCCCTGCAGCACATGGGGCTCTCGCTCCTGCAGGCTTCCTAAACTTGGATGCAGATATACAATAAGGGACATATCTACATATGTCAAGGGACACACTTGCAAGGCACAGCATTTAAGTCACAAAGGGTTCACTGCACATGATTGTGATCTGACTTGGAACTCCAGGCATTTTCTACGTATTCACTTGCTTGGTTATGAAAACCTGGACGCAGCAAAAATCTCAGTTTCTGAAACTTTCCGTTTTCATGTAAACGGGAAGGCAGAGGACCAAGAAACATACAGGGCCTGCTGTATAATATGTCTGTGGAATTGACATAAAGTTCTTAACCAGCAGCATTATTGACTATTAGCAGCCACGTGACAAGGCACCACAAGGAAGCAGCAGCAGTTTCAGGATCAAACAAAATGTGCACACCGAAAAAGAACAACCAGCACTTCCCTATGCACAGCTCCAGGTGCAGCCCTAACCCTGGCGCAATTTCAGACGCAGACCTGGTTCTCTGCAGATCATAACAGAGACTATCCATTTTCAAGAAAATTCGAAGGATATTCCATGTATTTTCTAGCTTCAGGTGCTACCCTTACTTCAGTGCAGAAGGACTAAATTCATTCAGAAATTACTGCATTGTTCAGTGAGAAGATCAGCATACAAGCATCTTTTGTGGGTCCACATGTTAGTAAGAGAGGGCAGCCAGTTGTTGGGGACACTAAGTCACAATTGTGGCTTTAAGACTTGTGGATTTCAACTCCCAGAATTCCTCAGCCACAAGTCATAAAAGGACCAAGTTTGAAGACCCCTGTTTTAGAGTGTTCTTCCTCACTTTTTTTTTTTAAAAAAATAGAGGCATGAATACCCTGGATATGCCTAACCACTTCACATTTCTGCCTAAAATCACATCGAGTATCTTTGCTACCAAAATCATAGAATCCTAGATCAGAAGGGATTTTGAAGGTCATTTAGCCCAATCCTCTGCTGGGACATAAATCCTCAGACCATGTTTTCTCTTGGCTTGAAAGGGCTGGCAATGTGAACCTGAATGGCTGAACTGTCATGGGACACATTTCATCTGCTGAATGGAGACTGCCCAATCTTGCGTGAATGAAAATTTAGGCTACCAATCTGGCAGATTTTTGCTTAGGTCATTTTGACTTGCTGCCATACAGTCTTCTAAACAATCTAATCCTGTTTATGAGGATGCAGGATCCATGAGTCACTCATGGCCATGTCCTTATCGCAGCCAAGACACCAAGGCTGCCTTCTTTCTGTCATTAAGGTTCTGTAAAACTCAAAGCTCTGTGGATTTTTCCACAGTTGTCCTTAATTTTAATTCAGAGCTCTTTTAAAGATTGTAAAGTACAGCAGATCCTGCAGGCCAAGGCTCTGGAGAGCTGCTAAGTCAGTGTTTTTCAACCTTGACAATTTTAAGACATGTGGACTTCAACTCCCAGAATTCCACAACCAGCAATGCTGGCTGTGGAATTCTGGGAGTTGAAGTCCACATGCCTTAAAATTGTCAAGGTTGAGAAACACTGTGCTAAGTGAAGATCCAATGGATAATAGCTTTTGAGTAAATGTCCTCATCCTACATCTAATCCCGTCTTCCTGAATCATACAGGGCTTCTTAGTCCAGTTAAGCCTCATGTGAAGAACAGAATCCCTGAACCTGGAAGGGCTCCTTCCTATCTTAGCTGTTCTTTGAGCTTCTTTTCTTTCCTCTGCTTCTGACTTACTCTTGGTGCTGAATCTCTCCCACAAGACTCCCCATGGCTTCCAAAAGGAATATGAGCAGGCTTATTTCTCTCCATCACAGATGGACTTCACCTGGTTTGCTTTTTTAAAAATAAAAAAAACCCAAGATATTTCTACATAGTTCATAAATTACTCCAGGTCACTGATACTGATTTAGCAGAAGCTAAGCAAGATGTACTGTGGTTTCTACTTGGATGGGCAACCATCAGGAATTTTAGGTCTGGGAAGTTAAAGGAACAACCAGGAAGAAGGCAAGAGCAAGCTGCTTCTATACTGTTGCCAAGAAAACGGCACAGATGTGAACACGAAGTCAACAAAACAGTGTTTCTCAACCTTGGCAATTTTAAGATGTGTGACCTTCAAATCCCACAATTCCCAAACTAGCATGCTGGGCAGAATTATGTTGTCTTTCAGCCAACTTGTCCAACACAGCTACTTTCCCTTCATTTTCTTTTCCGAAAAACAAAAATAATGAACACAAATGCATCAAAGCCAAGCTCAATTTTTAAATAGTATTTGGGGATATTATCATGCATGATCATGCAAACATGAACAGTGAAAATACTGATTGTTTGAAAAGAGAGCATTGTCCTTGGACAAGGATTCTTTCTAAGTATTTTAGAACCTCTTGTAGAACTCCAACAGCAGCACTGAATTGCAGTACATATAGGCAAAAACTACTCGCTTAAGAACTGGGTAGGTTTGCATTCTTTATATGACCTGGGTAGATCATACAATTATCACTCAGTCTAAACCAAGCATTCCACGTATGAATGGTGTTATCTGCATATATATATAATCCAAATTTCTTTTTTCTTGACAAAGAGTTAAAGAGTTAAATGGGAGACTAGAATAGCTATTTCGAGCTTATTTTGCTCTCATCAGCTAGCCATACCCTCTATGGGATTCGAACCTGGGCAGCTTGCATGCTAGGCAGTTGTATTAACCATCAGACCACCAGCTCTCCTCCCCTCTTTGTCAGCCGAGCCAAGAGAATATATAGAGAAAGTTTTTCCGGACAGACCGGTCTGATTAATGCAACTTGGTATTTTGACTACTATACTGCAGTTCTACTTATAATCAAAAGTGATTATAAGTAGAACTGCAGTATAGCAGTCAAAATACCAAGGTGCATTAATCAGACCGGTCTGTCCGGAAAAACTGTGTGTGTGTGTGTGTGTGTGTGTGTGTGCGTGTGTGTGTGTGTATCTTCTTTTAAATAATTATATTTATTTTTCTTAATTATGAGGAGCCCGGGCATCTACGGGGGAATTCATTGATAGTGTAATGCTGAGACAAAGTTTTGCATTAATTGTAGATGCACAAGGATTGGTGTGCATGTATGAAAGAGGCGGGATATGTAAAGCCATGAATCCTGCAGAGACTATGATTTCAAAAACTGAAAAACGAGCACTAGGAACACACATAGGAATAGGCCTAAATTCATGAAAATGTACCCACCATTTTGCAAATTTTGATCACTTTACCCCGAGGGATACCACTGATGGCATGGCCACGATGGTGCTGCACTGTAGATATTTATTAATGTTTATTTCCAAAGATCCTACTTAGCTTACCAAAACAGCCAAGGCTACTTGCCACAGAACTCAGCTATAAACTTATATCTATGCCCAATGCCATATTTACTCGAGTCGATGCAAATATTTGGCTATTCATTTCAAATCTAGGACTTTGTTCCTGTTGTCCCTGATTATCTTTCTTTTTTCTTCAGGCTATAAAGTCAAGATACATCAAGGATGACTAGCACCAATTAAATGGAGAGAAAAACCGTCACATACTTTGAAAACTAAAGCAAAAGTAATGCCTGGTTATGTCACCAGTCTTCACTAAAATGTCAGGAGATTGTCAGATCTGCCCTGTCAAAATCGACATCACCACTAGAGGGCAGCAATGATCAGCCTGAGATGAGTTACTCCCTCTGGTGTTCACCTGTGATTTTATGGCTAGATCTGATAGACCTGCCAATGACTTCATTGAAATACAAAATGAAACAAAGACTTGCAAATTAGTTTGAAAAAGACATTCCCTTCCTGAATCATCCTATTCCCTTTCCTCTGTCTGCTGAGTAACTCATTAGTAGTACCAATAGTAATCATATACCCATCTTAAATTTCCTTGTTGAAAATGGCTCCCTCTAGAGGCTGGTAGCCAAAGATGCCATCACAGGCCACTGAGAAAAAGGTTTATCTGAAAAATATGTCACAAGAAATAACGTATTTGAATTGTCTGATTTAGTACATGTTCTTAACATGCTAAATACCTTATCACTGCATTTAAAAAAATCATTATTGGGCTTTTTTGCTGCTACACAATAGCAGTTAAGATAAGCAATATGTTATGTATGACCCTAATACAAAAAAGGTAGGACTTTGATGGCAATGTCATGCCCACTTTTCTTGCACTTTTTGACCTCCTTCTATGGACACCTTGCCATTGAAATAAAAATGCTGAATTACACAATTAATTTTTGAAATCTTAAAGCCTAGTTGAACAAACAAGTTAACTGA